GAGGTACAGAGAAGTACCCATAATTTCAATTTCAAATAATGGGACAAAATTTTCTGTACTCTGATTTTTACAGATGACAGAACATTCTTCACTCCCTGTATGAAAGGCTCAGTTCCAAAAGTGTGTTTGTAATTTGGTTGCTTGAGTCTCAGAAAGCATTTTTGTAAAGAAAAAGTTTCTTAGTTCTCAGACCAGTGCACAAAGAACCCTTGACTCCCCATAGCTCTCAGACCCCACTGGTCGGGGGAGGATCTGCAGTCCATCTCCATCCTCAAGCTGAAGGCTTCTGGGATTAACTCGTAATGAAACTGCTTCAGAACCCCATCAACCCTGCAACACAGCGCTTCCAAATGCCTTTGGAATTCGCCTGGGGGGCTGCCAGCACTGAGTCCCTCTGCTGGACTGGATCTGGTGGGAGCTGTGGGTGGGACCTGGTGCTGCATCAGGTCTGAGAGGTAGGTCTAAGGGGACTTTGGTCCCAGCACAGAAGTAGCTTAGACGGAGTATCCTTACAGGCCGGATATTGAATCTGCAGGGCTGTATTTTCTCTGCCAGGCAGGTTCTCATGGCGTCCCTACCTCACTCACCTGTTACAGCCTCAGGCTCTCACCCTTAGCCCATGAGTTTATCCTGAGTTTGATATATATATTTCTCCATTAAAAAAACATTTTTGTTAGAAATGTTATAGTTTAAAAAAGGCAATTGTCCTACAGAGTCTATAATATAGGGCAGCAATCCCTTGCCCCATGCCACCCCCAAGTCCCTCCCTAGGCAAACCTTAGAACGCTAAGCCGTTTTTGCTGATGTTTACCTTTGTATTGAAATCTCATGCTGATTCTATTTGTTGACTTTTCAGTTTTAGGCTATATTATTATATATTACATATCATAACTTATAAAATAATATCATGATATCATGTACAATCTCCCAACACAGGTAAGCTTCTTATCCTTTTGCTCATCTTTATATATCTCGGCCGTCTTCATGCTCCTATCTGTGCTGGCCGACCTCTGCCTGTAGCCCAGATGCCTAGACACACAGCCAATGCCATTGCCCTGGGGACTCTCTTTGCCCCCTCCTGGGTCAGCTTTCTAGTTTCTTGTGTCCCTGGTACCCTCTTTCCTGGTTTTCTCCCTTGTTTCGTTGGAGCACATCCTCTAGTAGCTGCCTAAGAAAGAATGTATGGGAGAGACATTTCTAAAAACCACACATGTTTGAAAATATCTTCATTTTATGGTCATTGAGATTTAGCTGGATATACATCTAGATTAGAAGATACTGCTTCACTGTGTTCTGGCTTCAAAATCTGCTTTGAGAATTTCAGTGCCTTATCTTTGCTATGTAAACTGTTTTTTTTTTTTTTCTCTTTGGAAAGTTTTAGATTTTTTTCTTTAGGGTTTTTATTCTGGTGTCCTGAAATTTCATGATAAGCGGCTTGCTATTGTTCCTTAAATTTTTTATTTTTGAAGATTTCAGATGTGTAAGAATAATACAAATATAATGTATAATGCAACATAAATGTTACAAACACATCTATCTGTTACCAAGATTAATAGAACATTACTAATAAGGTTGAGACTCCTCCTTAATTGCATGCCTCAAGATGTGTCTAGAAATCTGTTGTTTATCCTTCCTAAGAATTTTATTCTTTCACTGCATAAAATATATGATAATATATAACATTTTTGCATGTTTCAAAATCTCTATATAGACAGTGTCATAATGTGTTTATTTTCCTGCCATCTGGTTCTTGGCTCAGTGTTGTGAGTCATCTATGCACTCATTTTCGCCACTGTGTGATATTCCATTGTTTGACTGTATCACAGTTTATGTATCTATTTTTCTGTCCATGGTATTTAGGTTGTTTCCAATTTTTAGCTAATTAAAAGGTACTGCTCTGAACATTCTGTACTTAATTCCTGCAGCCCATGTAGAATTTCTGTTAGGGAAATTGTTCCTGGTTCTACAGCACCCTGGAGTTACTGGGGGAGCTTACAAGATCCGGATGTCAAGGCTGTGTCCCACATTGATTAAATCAGAATCTCTGGATGTGAGTCTGGTATGAGGGCTTGTAAAGCTCCTCAGGATTATTCCAAGGAGCAGCCAGTGGTAACAACCACTGCTCTAGACCAGAGCTACTCAAAGTGTGGCCCTTTGGGCAGCAGCATTGGCGCTACCTGGGAGCTTGTTAGATGTACCCTCTCAGTTCCTGGCCCAGACCTAGTGAATGTTTATTGCACTAGGGTTGCAGGCCATGTGGATCCTCATTTATAGGTATTGCCCCATGGTGGCCCACAGTGGCAGTGGCTGTCCACAGGGTTATGGCTTTATGCCGCTATGCCAGGTACTTTGGTGGGTTCTTTTCTCTAGAGATGCTCATTTTCCTTCAGCCTTAGGAAACAGTCTTGTATCATTTCTTCAGTGATTTTTCTCTCCTTTATTTTCTGTTCCTTGGTTTGAAATTCCTATTGAAAATTGGACCTTTTGCATGCATTTTTTCTTTTTGTTGTCCAATTTTCTTGACTTTGTTCTCCTACTTTTACGTCTCTTTGCTTTTGTGTTTTACTTTCTGGGAGATTTTCTCTCATCTTCCATCCCTTCTAATGCATTTAAAATTTTCTGTTATGTTATTAATTTTCGAGAGCTTTGACACTTCCTTTTAAAAAATAACGTAGTTTTCCTGTTTCATGGGTATCTTCAGAGTGTTGTTCTCTGATCCCTTTCTTCTGTGTGTTGGAGTCTCTGTATTTTTGGCTGTTGGTTTTGGTCAACAGTTTGTGTCCTTGGCTGTTTCCACTATGAGTGCAACACAGCCAAGCTCACAGGAAGCTCTGTGCATACGGGCAGGGCTTATGGGCTAGGGCCTCATAGTGTGACTGAGGAGACTGAGGAATCACCAATGTCAGGGTCTGTAATCTTTTTTCCTTAATCTGTTTCCCAGAGAGAAATTCAATAATGTTCTGCTTTGGGGGTTGGGGCATGGGGAACAGGCTCACCTGTTAGCAGGGGAAGGAGGCTCAGGGTCTCTCCATTAACCATCACCTCACCCCAGCCTTTATCTGGGCATGGGGTCCCCAATCCAGAATCTTTCTGGTTCAATCTGGAAAACTGGCTAGTAGTATATTGTCTTCTATAGGGAAGGGAAGGGCAAGTCACAGGCCATGTAGACTAGGAGAAGGGACTTGGGGTTTAACCATTTCTTCCAAGCAACACTATTTCTACACCTATCCTGAACTTCCACCTTAGGGATACCTGCCCCCTCCACGTTCTGAGCATTTGGGAGATTCTACAGAGAAAATGTGCTTGTTCCTGGATGGCTTTCTTCCTTGCAGACATTTTAGGGAGGGGGAAGCTGGCACTAAACAAGTTATACTCTCCTGTCTCCCAAAGTCTCAGTCCTCTCTTACCTGCTGCAGTCTCCTCTCTATTCTTCTTGTCCTTGTAGTTTAGACCATTTTTATTCCTTTATGTTATTTTGGTGGGTTTTGGGGGTCAGAGGAAATATGAATGTGTTCAGTTCACCATATTTAACCAGAAGTCCTTGTCAACTTCACATTTTGGCTATGTACATATGTTTGTACAACTCAGTTTCATTATTTGCATGTATACTTTTTTCTGTTGTTTTTTTTTTACATAGATGGCCTTGTTTTCCCCATTCAACATTAGGTTTGTAGGCTCTTTTAACACACACACATCCAGCTCATTCCTTTCACTGTGGCTTAGGAAGTGCTCCAGCAATCAGTGCACCACAGTTTTTCCATTAATTTCTCTATTGATGCACCTCAGAAACATAGGCAATTGTGGTCTTTTGATCAACACACTAGCTCAATGCAAATTCTAATCTTTATTGTTTTTATTCTGAAACATAACTTGCCATAGGAAAACTTAAGTTTTTTACAGACTGCCAATGGCAAGGGCTAAAAAGTTCATGGTGGGGACCTGAGGGCCGGGAGAGAAGCCCTTTGAGGGGTACAGCGGGAGTGTCAGGAGGGGCTGGAGGGCGCAGACAGCAATGCACACACATGTGCATGTGCACACACATTCTCTCTCATCAGGTTTTCCAGAAGTGTTTGCCCACACTTGAATTAAGTATTTTTCATGCCAAACCGAACCTACTGAAGAAAAGTGAATTAATGGCGTAGGGGAGTCTCGTGCCCTGGCTGGGGACTTGGCTGAAGGCTGCTCTTCAATGAATGAATTCACAGCGTTCACCAGAACCCTTCCCAGCTCCAAAGCTGGGGAGAGGCTGAACAAAACCCAGGGATACCAATGGAGAGGCTCCAGGAAAACTAACAAAGAGCCAGGCTTCAGCTGCAGCTCCTGGGCCAGCCCCACGTGAGGGGAGAGGCTGCTCCCACCTCCTACCTTGGAGCTGCAAGGAGAGGGAAAGGATGGGAGCATCTCTCACCCCACCTGCTCTGGGCACCTCGCTCTCTGGGAGCCAAGCTCAGCTTTGAAGGGTAATGCTTAGGGTTGGATTTCTTCTTCCATTGATGCAGATAAGGAGAAAGCTCTGCCTGGTGCCCTCTGAAACTGCAGTGCATATGGGAAGGCCCCACAAGGTGGGTCTGAAGGTCCTTCAAGCCCACCCCAGGCCAAGAGCAAACTTAAAATGAACACATGAGTAGACCTAGGTGGGGGGAGGACAATAAATAAAGGTTGAGGCTGAGTGAAATGCTGGGGGGCTCAAGGAGGGCTCCTAAGAAAGAAGGGGTACAGAAAGGCACTGGGTGGGGGGAAGCAGATTCTGCCCCCCAAACACTGGTTTGTTGAGTCAGAGGTCATGTCCAACAGGGCAGGCTGCCCGAGGGCTCCAGGACTGGTCAGGAAGGAGCCAGGAAGGGTCTGGCCCCAGCTGCCTCTAGCCCCTTGCCCCCAAACTCTTCCATCAGAAAGTCTGCTCCGTGCACCAAACACGCCTCCATTCAGGGCAGGCAGAGGGGACTGAGAGAGGCTGTCAGCAGTGAGGACTCACCCCGCTGTGCCCTTTGCCTTTGGGGGAGAGAAAAAAAAAGGCCAGTATAGTGTGAGCAAAAGCAGAGTCCCTCCCTGGTGACAGCTTGACCTTTGGGGTGAAATGGAGATGATGGCCGGGAAGGTGGGGCCCTTGCTGAGGCAGCTTCCCTGTCTGCCACTGGCCAGAGGGCTGCCGGGAGGGCCGGGGGCTGGTGCCCCAGGCAGAGCTCTGCTCCATTTTGCTGCATTATTGGCGGCAAATCAGCTACTCCCGGAGCTTCAGTTGAGTCCACTAAAGTGGGTGATCAACATAGGTGATCTTAGGATGCAAATGGACTTGGGAATATAGAATTTCCCCCTGGGCCAATCCTTTCCAAGTTGTTTCTTAAGCCCTGGAACCCTCTCTATGCCTGGGCCACATGACCTCCCCAGCTTATAACTGGACATTTCCCGAAGACTTACTTAGGGTAGGCACTCCACACAGATGCTGCATTTTACCCTCCCCCCAACACTGTGAGGGCCAGTGTGGTCCCTACGTTAGTGATAATGGAACTGGGGGCAGAGAGATCAAATATTAGGTTGAATCAGATAGAACTGCCAATATTCCGCTATTTTTCATGAATTTCATACGGTTCAACCTCATGGTTTGCTCAACTGCACGTTTATGGTTGGCAGGGCTGAGACCAGAACTCAGGCCTGCTTGGTTCCAAACTATCCTCTGGGGAGGTTTCAGGGGACTATTGGAAGTGGGGAGGGTCCACTCCAGGGCCATATCCTCTACCTGCTGCCTCTTACAAGTCCTGCCCTGCAGCTTATCTGGAACCATCAAGGTGGGGGCAGAGGGAGGGCAGGGAGTGGGCCAAAGCTCCCCAGGGGCTTCCTGGCAGGTGGCTGCCAGTGCACACAGGCTCCTACACACGGGCATGCCTGCTCCAGCACTGAACCACCCACTTGCTGCTTGGGAGGTCAGCTGCTGGGTTGCGGCGCACAGGCACCACGCACTAGTGGACCCCACAGCCCTGCAGGCACCAAGTCCAGCTGGAGCTTCTTTCTTGAAGGAGACCAGGAGCTTAACCTGAACTTGCACAATTTTCTCTGGTGTGAGTGTGAGGGACCTGCCCTCTGCCCATGCCCATCACACGATGAACCTGAGCCAGCCAGGCTGGGCCTCAAGCAGGGGAGGTGGGTGGGAGCTTGGGCTTTTGCCCTTGGTTTCCACGCCTATCAAAAGGGGATATTAAGTCTCTCACAGAATGTAAGTTGACCTTGGAGGTGCAAGGGCAGACCGAGCTCCAGAGCCAGCATTTTACTTCTGATTTGGGCCTGCCCTGGGCTGGGCTGTTTTGGGTGAATTGATTTGGCTTCCTCAGCTACATGGTAGGTTTCTGAAGGCCAAGGACTGTCCCCCACTGGCCCCAGCCCTGTCTGGGCACACGATGGGCTTGGTGAGGACTGGACTGCCTGGTGCACAGTAGGTGCTCGGGAAATGGGAGCTACCGTGGCTGCTACAGACACGGGGAAATGCTCTGAGAGATTACACGTTTGATAAAGCAGAGGATGGTGACAACTGTTGTTACAATCACTGAGAATGAGTCGGGGTGATTACCATTATTATTTTGGGTCCCTCTCTCTGTTTGCTACAGGCAGGGATAGAGGCTGGCTGGCCTCTGTTTCCCCAGCACCTGGCATAGCAGTCAGTGACCACAGAGAGTGGAAACATCACCTACTGCCCCACAGGCTGGAGGGCCCATGGCAGGGAGGAACAGAAGAGGGAGAGGGGGTGGTGAGTTAGAAGGTACTCACTGGGGCCCTTTGGGTGTGGCGCCCCCCTGTATATCTGTGGAGCTCATCCCAGCCTTGCTGGCCAGGCTTCTCAGGCTCCCTGAGAGGTGGCTGGGTGGGCAGGTGAGCCCCATCTTTGGAGACTCCAGGCTCCCACCTGCAAGAGACCACATGGGCCTGACTGGCTCTGTGCAGGGCTCTTTGGACCTTGACCCAGGCCAGGATGACCTCAGCCCGACAAGCTGCTGATCCAAAGTCTTCTCATTTGGAACTGTGATGGGCACCTATGGGGCTGTCTGCCCAGAGCCCCTGCCGCTGGGAGTTGCCACTGCCAAGCCCCTCCCCACTATGGCTGCCACATCCTAGCATGCCCCATCCTTTGGCCACAGCTGATTGGTCCAAGATACATAAAGGCAACTGAATGGGCCCTTAGGTCACTTTATGAAGGAACAAGTCAAGTCCCCAACATGAAGCTGGCAACATGGAGGAGCTATTCCTGCCTTCATAGAATGAAGGTGTGTCGGGGGGAGGGTGTATATTTCAGTTAACTCAGTGGAACTATTAACTGCTGCCTTTATTAACTTAAGAATCCCCACTCAAATATGGTTGTTAGTTCTTGCATGGCCGAGAGAGCAGAGGCGGGACCTGCAGTACTGCCCTCCATCTTTTCCTGTCTCCCATGACTGCTGGTCATGGCTGAGAGATGGTGTGAAGGCAGAGTTCAAGAGCGAGGGCGGCGCTGGGACGGGGAGAGGGGAAACCTGCACTGGAAGCCACGGCTGGCAGGCGAGTTTCCTTTACACTTTTCTAGGATACAGTCTTTGGCCTGAGGAGATCATCTAGTCCAGAGACAGCCTTCACCTCTTGTGTCATGTCCACCTACTGACATGAACCTCTTGGAAAACTGCACTGAGGAGGATTCGGAGGCCACATCAGGTTCTCTGGGGAAGAGTGCCATGATTGACTAGTAATGTCTGTTGTGTGTACAGGCTAGGGAATGGAAGTGCATGTGCCGGGTATTTGCCATCTCTGATCTATCCCCAATTAACCTCCCAGGCAGGAATTTCTTCCCAATCAGCTCTGGTAGGAGATCACCCAGTCTTGGGCCCAGGACAGCACCCTGAGGCATTTCATTCCAGCTGGGGGCAGTTATTATAAAGCTCTCCTCTTAGGTACTCAAATCAACCTCTCTAAAATATCTTTCAAATATCCCAGTTCTAACTTCTGCAGTAACTAAGAGTGAAGGTGCTCCTTTTCAAGGACCTTCAAGTGTTTAAAGGAAAATGTGCCCCTAGGTCTTCTCTGCACTGGCCTTAAGGCCCCCATTAACTCTCTTTCATACAGCATGGTCACAGAGGAGAGCTCAGAGATGTAAGTCCGGAAGGAACTTTGGGGACCATCTGCCCCATCCCATTTGTGTTAAATAGAAGCTAGCTGAAGCCCAAGAGGTCACGGTATGTATCTGGGGTGCCCCTGCAGTTTCATGGCAGAGCTGAGCTGACCTGGGGAACTTTTCACCTGATTTTCACAGCACTCATCATTCACGAAGCAGTATCTCGTCGGGGGGGATGCTCACAGTGAGCTTGGGGAGGCATCTCAGGTGTGCCGGCAGAGGGCCTGCCCTGTTCCCCCACTGTGTGGACACCTGAGCCCCCTTTCCGCCCTGTCCTCCAGGCCCACGTCTCTTCCCTGGCCTAGAACAACTCCACAGACACCTGCTGAGGAGCAGCAACCCAGGGAAGCAGCAAAGCCACCTGCACCTGGGGCTTCGGAAACAGCACTGTACTTCCCACGCTTACCTGATTCCCCCCAGGGCTTGTTGTCTTTGGGGTCCCTGACCCCACTGGGAGGGAGTCTGTCCTCCAGGCTGGAGGAACTGAGATCTGAATCGCTGTCACTGTCACTGGAAACTGCTGGAAAAGAGACAACAACCCAGGTCACCCCTACCAGCCCACCAGGGAAGGCCTCCCTCCTGCCAGGACCAGGTGGCACACATCCTCACCAGCCCTTATGTTTGGGGCATGGGAACAATGGCCTGGGGACAGGGATGGCCAGGTTCTCCTTTTTGCCAGTCAAACAGGGAGTCCTGTTGCAAGGAGGCTGGGACACTGGCAGGGAGGGCTCACCCCCTCTGTCCCCACCAGCCACCTCCATGCATTGCCCCCGTGGCCTCCTATGGCAGTCGGAAGCCTCTGGCAATGGCAGGGGCTGAGCACCCCCTTCGGCGCGGGCACAACTGCTCTGAGGCTTGCACCTGGCGATGCTTCACGGGGCAAGGCAATGCTCTGTGGTGATTCCAGAGGGTTCCAGTCCTCGCTGACCCTTCTGGGGCACTCTAGGTGTGTTACATATGCTAACTCACTGGTGCTCCGGGACAACCCTGTAAGGTAGGAAAGCATTATCCCCATTTTGCAGGTAAGGACATGGAGGCACTGCCCAAGGCAGCAAGTGGGGAGCCAGGATTCTTATCCTGGCAGGCCAGCTCCCCAGTCTATTTTCCATACGCTCCAATGCCCCTGGAAGAACTGAACTGGGGGCCAGCAGCCCTGGGCTCTCCTCCCAGTTCACGCAATACCTCCCAGCGGGGCTTCGTGAATGCAACAGGGAGCAGGTGGTGGGACTGGAATTCCAGGGGAAGGGAGGGTGGGAGCTCTCGCAGGGCCACCCACTGTGGTAGAAAAACCTCTATTCTGGACTAAACAGGACCACATTTGGCTGGTTAGTCAACAGTGGGAGTCATAATATAGGATATATTCAAACGTTAAACATTCTATTTTAATTTTAAGCATAGAAATGTACATCCATTCGCCAATCTCTTGATGCAGGGCTTGGGTGCTTCTATGAGATCAGGCCCACACGGTCTCCCATGTCTAATCTGCATCCATCCCGTGTTGTCTGTGATTCTCAGGTTCAGTTTCTTTAAGTTGGAGCACAGCTTAAAGACACTGGCAAAGCAACATGAGTGCAGAATCCTCCTATTTTTCCATTTCTTTCTCCTACTTTTTACAGTTGTCCTGCCCACACCTAACTCGATAACTTTTTAAAGTTAAGTGATTTCTGGCAAGACTGCCCAAAGTCTTGGTTTTAATAAAACAATTCTGTGCCTTTTCTCTTTTCAGCAATTTATATGCTGTTTAATTACATGGTGTGATGGCAATAATCACAGTCCAGATAGGTCTGGGGTCACAGGTAACTGGCTCTCAGGGGCGGGAGAGAGGCAGTGGACCTGACCCAGGGCATGCCACATGCTGCTTACATAGGGAGGGCAGGGGCTGAGCCTTTCTGCCAGGCATGGTGCTGGGCGCCTCATGAGTATTATCTTATTCAACCTGCTGAATAACCCTGTGCTGCTGGGACCGGTTTGGTGGGAGATGAGATGGAAATAAAGTGAATCTATACCAAGGGTGGCTAACAGGTCTCATGTGATCCACCAGGCCCCTTCTGGAGCAGTGTGCAGGGCACTAATGCCCAGCAGGAAGAAGAGCCATTTGGTTCTAATGGGCAGGTGCCAAAGGGCACAAAATGCCAAGAGCCCGGAAGGAGATGATGGGAAAGGATGTCCCAGGACTCGGCCCGTTAGGGAAGCCACTGTGGGTAAGGACCTTTGCTGCATAGCTGCTACCCAGATCTAGAGCCTTCTGGAAAGCCTTCATGCCTCCTGCCTGCCGCCTCTCACCTCGGGAAGTCACAGGCCACAGAGCCAAGCAGCCAGAGGATTGGAGCTGGCCGACCATATCAGCTCTGAGAGATTCTCAGTCCTGTGCTTCTTTCCATAGCAGAGTGGCTGGCACACAGTTGGTGCTTTGTGGAGCTCTGGCGCTTCCCTCATCTCCACATCTGGCCAGTTTCTGAATCAGAGGCCTCCTCACCATGACTGCCGCCTCTCCAGCCTAGACTCCTGTGACAACCGCCCACCTGGGCTCCACCTGCAGGCACCTCCCTCTGCATAGCTGGGATGTTCCTGCTAACACACAATCCTAGCTTACCCCTCTTTAAAGGCTCCCCCTAGCCTACCCTTTCAAGCTTGAGCTCCTGCCCTTTGTCTATTTCTCCAACCTTATCCCATGCAACCTACTGTCCCAGCCCAGGCCCTCCGGCCCCACACAGTGTGTAGCTCTGCCAAACTGCCAGTCGGCGCCTCCCACAGCGACTTGCTTCACTCTGCCCAGAACACCCTGCCTGTTGCTCTGCCCCGGGCTCCTGTTGGGCACCACCTCCTCCCGGGAACCTTCTTCCTTGCCATGCCCAGCTGGCTGAGGGCCCTGTGCATGCTGCTGCAATCGCACAGCCACTTTCTGCTTTAAGCGTCTGTGTGTGTCCCCCGCAGCGGATGGCGAGACTCCTGGAGGGCAGGGGTCAAGCTGGGCCATGGGGGGCTGGTGCGCTTCTCCTTCCGCAGCGCCGGAGCCCTGTGGGTGGGTGAGTGGTGCTCCCCAACTGTTCCCAGCACTCCCTTCTGCTGCTCAAGGATTCTGCCTTTTCTGCTGTCTTCCCTCCTTGCGCTCAGGGAAGAGCCCTGCTTTGGCTTTCTGGGCTTTTGTGATGTAGATGAGATGGGGTTATGGTCCGGGTGCTCCTTCATAATATTTGAGAAATGCAAGCAAGGCCTCACTTGTTTTGCAATTGCTTTTCAGGTCCTGGACTGGGTTTCTTTGCTCAAGAATCCACCGAGACAGGACTTCATGGGCCTCAGTTTTATAAGTATTGACATGTTTTTGACTCACTGACTGACTAAGCACCAACCCTGTGAAGCCCCAGACAGAGGGAGTGGAAGGTGGGCAGGAGGCAACGAGCGCTCCCCACAGCTCCTCTGGGGCAGCTACAAAGAGACTGGGGGGACTCTGCCCCCCAGCCCCTGCTGATCTCCACATGGGTGCACTCCCTCTCTGGCAGAGATGCTTCGGGATAATCTATCCATTCTTCCCAACTTTGAATATTCCACCTTCCATCTCCTCCAGGCTTGATATGTAGAATCTTTGTGCTTTTGGGGTGGAGGGTTGGGGAACATGGAGCTGAGACAGCAGAGGCGGGGGGACATGGAGCTGAGGTGGGGGCATGGTGCTCCAGGGTGCTCAAATAATGTCCAGGTCCTTTGGTTCTAATGGGCAGATGCCAAAGGGCATGAAATGCCAAGAGCCCGGAAGATGATGGGAAAGGATGTCCCAGGACTCGGGTTATAATGGCAGCTCTTTTATCTAATTTCTTTTCACCTTCTTCCCTTTTCTGTCATCTGTTGTTCATGGTCACAGTGTTGGGTTGGGAGTGGGCTAAAACTGAAAGACTGAGCTGTGCTACATTGGGAGGGCAGCCTTTGCCCTGAGGGGTATATCTTGTCCAAAGCATCAACCCCGGAAGGGTGTTGGGGGCACCACATGGCTTATTCCCCGTGTGGTGCCTATGTTGTGCAAGGTTTAGTAAAAACAAAGCCTCCCCAAGACGCAGTCCATTGGCCTGTTTTGGCTCCCCTTTCATAGACCCTAAAGGACCACAGCCACAGGAAGGGTGACAGCCCCCGGTGAAGGCCAAGCTCACAAAGGCATCACAGAGCAGAGAACCAGCCAACGCCCAGACTTGTTCCTTGGGGACGTGTCTCCCTTGGCTCCAGCATCTTTGCTCAGTGAGTCTGGGATTTCAGCCTGGGGCCAGGCCTCAGTTTAGAGGCCTTCATGGTGTAAACCCAATCCCATCTCTAATCCACTCTAATAAACCCTGCTCAAAAGAAACAGACCGAAGGAAGGCAGCAGTATCCACGCCCGGCCTTGGCACTTACTGCCAGTGGGAAGAAACACACTGAGAAGTCACTGCTGAGTGTGTCCCTGGACACAGCCCAGGGTAAACGCTGCCTATCCACATACTCCCCTGGCAGTGAAGGAAGGTCCTCCTCCTCCTCCTCCTCCCCTCGTCACCATCAACCCAAACCTCAGCTAATTTGCCATTTGATTGCCATTGCCGCCTTTCTCCCTGCACAGCAGCTGTGATCGTAAATCTTCGAGGTCTATTAACAGAGCGTTTAGGCTCATAAATCTTTTGGCCTTTGCTCTTTCATCCTCAACAAAACACTGTGTGTGTCTGAAGACTGTTTTTTTTCTTCTAATTCCCCAAAGGCTGAGTCTAGGATGGCTCAGTGATGAGCACGGTGTTCTGCCCACGCCTGATTTTTCAGATAGAAGATGGGAAACACCAGGGAGAAGACTGTCCCTGGATCCTCCCCAAGAAGGAGGTGAAACCGCACGGACTTACGTGGGCTCTGTCCTGAGGCAGGGCGGGGGGAGGGCTTTCCCCTCCACAGGGCTCAGGCCCCTGGACCACTTGTCTGGGGACCTGGCATCCCTGAGATTTTCCCATCATGCCCCAGAAGGGCTGCCCGACTCTACTCAGCTCTCATCCTCAGTAGCGGATGGCCCCAGTGCCAGTCAGGCCCACTTCTCTGGGGAGAGGCCAGCTTTTCTTTTTTCTTGGTTCACTCTTGGATGGAACTGCAATTTGACTGTCACCATGGAAACTTAAGAGTTTGGTACATGAAGGTGCGGGGGGTGGGGAGGGGGGAGGAAGACTTCCCTTTTAGAGAGTCTTTCCTGACTGCCTCAAAGGACACATGTGGCAGCTGCTGTCCTGTAGAGATATCTTACCTGGGATGGTCCAGGGGATAGGCAGGATGCTGGCCACTTGACCTCACAGTACTGCACTGGAATTTGGGGGACTGCCTTCCTGGCTCTGCTCTGCCACCATCTCCCTGTGACCCTGGCCACCTCTCAGGACTTCATCACACACAAAATGAGGCCAACCTGGACAGCTACTCTGGGTCTGAATCCTAGGATTCAGCTTCAGGTCAGCTTTGTTCCATCAATAGTGAGACCCCCAGTACCCCTCTCTGGTTAGGAGGCGGGGAGATGCAACTTCTGGGCTAGACAACATCCTCCTGCCTGGCACAAGGACAGCCAGCAGCCTGCGAGCTTGGGAGGCACTTGTGAGCTGCTGCTGCTCTGCTTGGAGGCTCCCAAAGCCCCCAGAAATTATGGGAATTAGAGAGGAAGAGAGATATTTTCAGCAAACATCCTGCCAAGGCAAAGCAGATGGTGGAAAATTTTGCATACTAAAAACAACAAAAAAATTTTTAACGTAAAGGAAAGATAATAAGGCCCTGGGAATGCATAGACATCCTCATTTAGCCTTACACAGCCCACCCGGCTGCAAGAGGAGTCACAGAGCTGTCCCCACCGGGACAGGTGAGACTGCCGGGGGCCAGGCCCGCAGCCTGAAATCCCACTGAGATGCCTCCCAAGTCTGGGGCTCCATTTGGTAGCAGCAGGAGGGAGGTGTGGGGTGGCTCTGAGTCAGACAGACAGACTGTGTCCTGGCTCTGCCACTTCCCAGCTGTGTGACTTCAGGCCGGTTTTTTCACCTCTCTGTACTTCACAGGCCTGCCTAAGATATGGGGGGATGACGGGGCCCTTTCTGGGTTGTGAGCACTAATGGAGGTAGTGCAGGCAGTGTCTGGTACATGGTCGGGGCTTGCTGAACAGGAGCTGTTTTATTTGAGGGAGGCATCCTGAACTCATGGCCCACACCACCAAGCACAGAGCCGGCCTCTGCAGTGACCATATTCAGTGTCCAGGCCAACCTCACTGGGCTGGACTTGTCTTTTCCAAGGAAGCCTGGATTCCCACATTGCACTTCATTGGACATTGAAGGCACCAGGTGCCTTCAGAGGCCATTTGGCTGCTGAGCTGGGATTTGAACCCAGGCCTATTTATGGCTGGAACCTCTGCTCTTTCCTCCTAACCAAGCATGCAGGGCCCCTTGGTCTGGACTCACCCTATGGGCCCTGCTCCCTCAGGAGCCCTCCTCTCTAGGCAGGCCAGTCCCCCTCTGTCCCCCCAACATGCCCTTTCTGGGTTCCTCTCTGGGGCCTTTCCCCGTCATGAGCAGGGGCTGCAATGTGGCTGAGAGAGACTTCTGGTTCACTCCCGACATCTAGGGCTGACTTACGGGTCTGCCTTGGACCTCCTGGGCAAATAAATACCTGTCTCTCTCTAAACCTCTATCTTCTCACCTGTAAATGGAGACAATAACAACTACCAGTGAAACAAGATCAAGTAGAACAAAGGCATTGCAAATCAAAAAAACTACACGAGCCTATGAATATTTTTAAAAATCAGATTCCAATCTATTCTCTAGGCACCCATCCAAATTGTGCCTCTATTGCAAAGTCTTTTCAGCCCCGGGGAAGGCAGAGGACAGCTCTCCTCACCCTCCCTACGTCTGCTGAGGCAGCTCTTCCGGCCCTCTCTGATACCATCCGACACTGTATTTCTTTTCCTACAAATGCCTGCCTTTACTTCCCCAACTGTACCAGGACCACTTGCGGGCAGGGCCATGTCCTAATCCGTGTCTGCTCATTCCCTGGGCCCCCAGCACTGGGCCTTGGGCCAAGCAGGCACTCAGTGAATACTTGTTGACTGCTTCCTGAAAAAAACCTCCCTAGGAGAGGACAGAGCACTGTACAGAGACAGCAGGACGGGATGGTGGTTGGCAAGGCGGTGGCAAGCCAGCTCCATCTCCAGAAGGGCTGGGCTTTCCACGGAGCCGGTGCCTCCCCACAGCCTCCTTTAGAGGGCATTCAAGTGGGATGAGCTAGGCTGCTGGTGGCCTCAGCCGGAGCCAGGGACAGACTGATGGGGGAGGGGCTCCAGAGCCGGTTGCCATGGCCACGGCATGAGTGGGCCCTGGGGGTGGTGGGGCTCAGTTCATACAGAGCTGCTCTTTTTCCAAACCTGAAGCAGGCAGGGCAGGGGGAAGCAGCTCTTCCTTTGTTTTGGAGACTCCCTCCAGGGCCCCGGAGAGTCAGGGCCAGGACAAGGCTAACGGTGGCCCCAAGGCTTACAGGTATGGGTCCCACTGCCCTATGATCTAGGTGACCTTCACCTGCCATCTCCCTGACCACCCTGGGTCTCAGTTCCTCATCTGTGGCCCTGGACCACCTCAGGGGGTAGGATGAGGGTGTGGTACCTGGGGAGCCCTCCCACCTTGGTCCCCCTTTCGGGGTGCCCCTAGGGACATCAGCAGGGACAGCTGACCGGGTTGGGAATTGAGAGTTGGGGAGTGGAGGGTTTCTTGTGCTTGTTTATTCAGCATTGATTTTAGTTAACTCCCTCCTTCAGGCTCATAGATAGAAAGGAGGTACCAGATAATGAAGATGAATCCTCAAATCAATAGTGATGTGGTTGCCAGCATTGAAATCCTGTGGTCCTGCCCTTGCTGGAGAAGCTCCAGATAGAATGAGAGGCAGAGAGTGTTTGAGGAGAGGGGAAGTCAGGGAGGGCTTCCTGGAAGAGGTGGAATTTGAAGATGGGCATGATTTAGCCTCTAGAAATGCTGGGGCCAGGACAACCCCACTGGCTCAAGAGAAAGGCTCCAGGCTCAGGCGCTTAGGGGAAAGGGGCTCGTCTGGCTTGGGTGTGCTATGCACTACTCTCTCGCAGATCATGGCTTCTGATTTCTGGCAGAGATGACATGAAGGGAGTGCATGCCTGCTGCCTACTCCTTTGCTGGGGTGCAACGTGCGCCTCCTGCTCTTGCTTGTCTTTCTGTCTCTGTGTCTCTGGCCTTTGACTAGACTTTGTCTCTTTGTGCCTCTCTGCCTTGGCGTCTCTGGTCTTTCTCTTCCTCTCTCCCTGTCTCTCTGTATGCTGAGTCAGCTTGGGTTTGTCCCTTGTTTCCTCTCTCAGTTTCCGTGCGTCTCTCTCAGCCCCAGGCTCCCCTCTCTCTGTCTCTGTCTCTCTTTCCCAGGCCTCTCTGACATTCCTTCAGGGCTTGTTCCTCAGGTTTCTCACCCAGGCTGGAATCTCAGCCCCTGCTCAGGCCTATGGGGTCTGTGCTCAAGAGTTTGCGTGTGGGGACTAGCTATCAGCTTCCTCTGGACCTCATGGGGATCCCAGAGGCAACTGAGGGGGGCGGGGTGCCCAGCCTTTCCTTCCTGTACGGAGAAGCCCGGCATATGGAATCCCAGCCTCTGCTGCAGCTCCGGGAGCCCCAGTGGGAAATCAGCTTAGCCCCATCCATGAGGCCCGCCTTTCCCCCGTGATGGACAGAAGGCCCTGGGAGAAAGCTGCTGAGTGAAGCCAGCGTTGTTATCTCCTAGGGCTTTATTGGAGCCAGCCAGGGCAGGCAAGCCCAGATTTGTTCGCTTCACCCAGGTCTCCAAGGCTGAGAAGCCTAGTGAGCAGAATTAAGTTGTAGGTTCACATGGTGACACAGGTGAGTGGCTGGAGTGGGGTGTGCTTTACTACACAGGCCTGGCACATGGTGGGAGTTCTGCAAATGTCTGTGACCATGGCACATGGTGGGAGTTCTGCAAACTGAGCTGAAGCCAGTGGCTGGCTGGGGACTGGGCCCTGCCTTCTTATTTCATCTCAGACTGGGACAAGGAGTCCCAAGACCTCACCTTACAGCTGGAGTCATCCAATCAGCTAAGGCTGTCACTGAGTTTGGATGAATTAGAAGTGACAGCTGCACCCCGGACCTCCCTGTGTGGCTAATGAGGGCCTTCCACCCTTGGGAAATCCATCCCCAAGCCAGTGAGGATGCCCAGGACAAGCAGGAAGGCTGCTGGGTGCAGAAGTAGCTCCCTGAAACCCAGGGCTTCTGGTCTGGGGGTGGCCCCTCCATGCACACACCCAGCACTGAGCTAGAGTCTGGCTTCACCAAGGGCTCTGAAGGTCAAGACATTAGTATGCATGGGCTTCTCTTGTAAAACAGCCACACAAGACATAGCCAGGCCTCTATTTTCCTGAGATTTAGGGAAAGGGCAGAATTTCCTGAATTTCTGGAAATTTCTCTTTCTGTCCACATGGAGATTATAATGCAAGTTATCAGACCTCCCTTACTTTAGTTTTCTTTTCTATAAAATGGGGAAACATAGTTCTTTCTCTACAGGTTGTGGGGGATCACACTGTATAATGACTGCATGGCACCTGGCACAGCCTGCAGGGAGAACCACGTGGCCCATGGCAGCTGCTGTTGTCGCCATTTTTACCAGGCCACTCTGCACTGAGGCCGAGACCTGCCCCTTCCACCCCCACAGACGTTATGGCAACTGCACCCAGGCCCTTAGTGGGTCTGGAAGGATGGCGGCCACGTGAGAAGACCAATGACTGACCATCAGTATTCGCCCCAGTGGGGCTCTAGTGGGCTCGGGTGGCTCAGCACCATCCCATGCCCTCCTGCCTTTGCAGAGATGGACGGCATTCAATTCCCCAAATGGCTGGTGGGAGCCATAGACGGGGCTGACTATGACTTCTTAAAATTTATTTTCTGGGCCCAAATAGCAGACCTACACCATGAAGACCTGAGTCACTGTTTTCCAGGGTGCCGCCTTGGACACTCAGCACCCTTCCTGGATGGTTCAGAGACAGTCTCTCCCTCTTCCTCTCTAACAGTCCTTCCTGGCTCCTGTGAGTATTTGGTGGTCTCTATTATCTTTACATTAAAAAAAAAAAAACATGTACTTCTAGCTCCCCAGGACTCTAGAACCCATGTAGGGAGCAAAATGAAAGGGGTCAGAGAAGGTGATAATTAAGCATAAGAGAAGATCCTGGGGACAGAACTTTGAAAGGAAGGTTCAGTTACTTCATAAGCACTTAGCAAGTGCTGACCACGCTCACAGTGCAAGGTAAGGGGTGGGCTAGGGCCGGCCTTGCAGGAAAAGACAGCCTCAGTGTATGGTCTGGGAGCTGCTTTAACACCTGCCAAAAATGCGCCCACAAAGTTTCATTCTCTTGGATTTGAAACTATGAGATGGGAAAGCTGGACAAGAATGGATTTGCTGTCGCAGCTCTCTTATCTCCAACCTCCTGAGGACACCAAGGCCCAGAGAGGAGGAAGGATGTCCCCAAACTGAAGTTTCCCTACTCAGGGTCTCCCATTAAAACACACAAGCTAGAATACAGCAGCCCAGTTTGAAAAAGACAGATGCACCCCTATGTTTATCGCAGCACTACTTACAATAGCCAAGAAATGGAAGCAACCTAAGTGTCTATCAGTAGATGAATGGATAAAGAAGAGGTGGTACATATACACAATGGAATACTATTCAGCCATAAGAAGAACACAAATCCTACCATTTGCAACAACATGGATGGAGCTAGAGGGTATTGTGCTCAGTGAAATAAGCCAGGCGGAGAAAGACAAGTGCCAAATGATTTCACTCATCTGTGGAGTATAAGAACAAAGGAAAAACTGAAGGAACAAAATAGCAGCAGAATCACAGAACCCAAGAATGGACTAACAGTTACCAAAGGGAAAGGGACTGGGGAGGATGGGTGGGAAGGGAGGGATAAGTGGGGGGAAAAAGAAAGGGGGCATTATGATTAGCATGTATAATGTGGGGGGAGGCATGGGGAGGGTTGTGCAACACAGAGAAGACAAGTAGTGACTGTACAGTATCCTACTACACTGATGGGCAGTAAATGTAATGGGGTCTGTGGGGGGGGACTTGGTGAAGGGGGGAGCCCAGTAAACATAATGTTCCTCATGTAATTGTAGATTAATGATACCAAAAAAAAAAACAACACGAGCTTTGCAAAGCCTGACACACTGAGTCCTTATGGGTGAGGCCTGGAGGTGATGGTGGTGGGTCACTCCCACAGGAGGTACAGAGCCAGTGTGGGCAGGGTTTGTGGGGTTGGAATCAGGAGCAGGAACACACAGATGTGATGTGGTCAGGCTCCTGCCCTCCACTGGGGTGGGCTGGGTATGAGAATCCTTCACTTCCACAGAGAAGTGTGCTTACTTTTCTTGCAACAGGTGGCCCTGTTACTCTAACTCTTATTCTTTCTCTTTTCATAGGGATGTGAAACAAGAACTATTTCACTTTCTTCTTAATAAATCTGCATCAGTGATGATCAGAGTGTCAGAGACAATAGGGAGAGGTGGGGACAGTGGCAAATCAGACACTGCAAACCTTGTATGAAGAGGGAAGCTGCTGCTTAGCCTGTTCCATTTTTCCAGGGAGGGGCAGTATTGGCAGACCTGATTTCCAAATAATAAGCCAGAATTCCATATTCTTTTTAATGAGAATGTTCTACATTTAAGAAAGCTGTTGGTGTTTAAAGCAATAAGCTAGATAGAGTCACTGCTCTACCAGTTTGCAACCTATAACACCAACAAATGCCCAACCCTCCAAGGACAGATGGCATCCCACCTCCCAACATGGAAGCTCTCCTGCTCCAAGCCCAGCCAGCCCGGCCCTGCACACAACATACTCTCCCAGCTGCTCTGCAGGCTGCAGGGAGTTCATGTGCCACTTCCAGGCTGACGTGACGGAAATTGCAAGTCCAGGGTCTGCTGGGGAAACACTGGGGGCAAGTGGGGGTTGGGCCGGTGGGAGAGGGCAGCTGAGCCCTTGGAGGAGCTTCCAAATGCTAATTTCTCAGGAACAGGGGAAGAAGGAAGATGGCATAGCAACAGCTGGCTCTGGGCAGTGAGCAATCCTGTATGAAAATAAACCTTTTACAATCCACAACCGTGGCTCATTAAGAATGAACGGATCTATTGGTATAAATAGCATGCTGCGTTAAGAAGTCAGGAAATAGCATATGCGTTTGATGGAAAAACGGCTGCCATGGAACTGCTTATTAGCTCAGTTGGCTGCAGTTCTGTGCTAATGAGACAGATCTAGGTTCAAACCTTTCATGGGCCATGTCGCTTTTGTGATCTTGGGCCATAGAATGGATCCTCGTCCCCTCAGCCCTGGTCACAACACTGGGGCATAACTCCAGATACACAGGAAGAAGCCCATAGTGAGTTTCTCCCAGTGTCTGAACCATAATGCCCCTACTATACTATCCAGCCTCTGCTTGAATGCTTCCAGTGACAGCAAGCTCACTACCTAGTCAGATACAAAACACCCAATTCTGTGGTTCAGTGGTTACTGAACAAGAAACCCAAACTGCCTCCAGCTGTGTCCCAGGTCTGCTTTTGGGGAAAGCAACCCTAGCTGGTCATACCATCTATCATGTCTGATGGGATACAGGCTAGATGCAAATAGGGCAGCCTGAGCAGAAATGAGTTGGGCCAATCATTTCCTCCCTGAGTGTGGACTTGGACATGGGGTCCTGAGAAGAAGGCCAGATGCTGAGACTGAAGGGCTTGCAGACGTGAGGTGAGTGCCAGGTGCTGAGCAGGCAGAGGTGGAGGACGGAGCTCATCCGGGTTCCCTGGGAAGCCAAAGGTGGTGCTGCCATCCTCCTCCACCCCCACAGGCCTTGCCAGCCTTCCTCCCACCTCTTCTTCTGGGAGGCCTTCCTCAGCAGCCTGACAGTAACCCACTTACTTGAGCCAGCCCTAGTGGTCGCCGTTTTTGGCAACTAAAACTCCTGTGACCAAGTCCGACAGGGGAAAACCAGCATGTGTGGTGACTGGGCAACAGCTTTACTCCGTCTTGCACTCAGAGGGGAGGAGTATGGGCTGGGATTCAAAGCCTGGGTCCCAGGCCCTCTTGGCTGTGGCCTACATGACCTTGGGCAGACTCCCCTGTCCACATCCAACATGAGGAGTCAGTGCTGCGGGCCACAGCTTCCCCACAGCTGTCCTGAGCATTAGCTGAGAGAATGGCCGTGGGCCACGGAGCCCTGGCAGAGACCAGTGTGGCACCCAAGACCCGGCTTCTCCAGGAGACGGGAGATGCTGGCATGGCCTGGCACCCATGCCCAGGGTCAAGGTGGCCCCAGGTGAACCTTTGAACCCGAGCTGAACCAGACTCAAACGGACTTGAGGCTTGCTTCACTGGACTGCAAGCAGAACTACAGTTCAAGATATTTAAAAAAGTCATTTAAAATTTAGCGAACCAATGAAGTGATAATGAAACTTCTGTTTTTCTTAAAAACTACCCAACTGGAACAAATCCAAAACCTCGAAGTACTTTCCTGAACAGACCTTGCAGTGAACCAGGTTGCAATTTTGTTCAAATCCAAGCAGGAAGCCTGTGCTCTGCTCAGGGGGATGACAGAGGGCCAGGGCGGCAGGATGCCCGCAGAGGTCCTGGGGAGGAGCCATGACCCAGGTCTCAGAGGAGATGGGGAAGGGCACTTGCCCCAGGCTGGGGGAAGCACCTGGCACCTGCCAGTGCCTTGGCCTGGTAAGATTTCTCTGCCATCACTGAGGGGATGGATGTAGGGAGGAAATGGGTGTTTGCATTCTGAGTGGGGCTTTTCAGGGTGGTGGAAGGTGAAGTGGAAAGGCCTCCCCAGTCAGGCCAGGTCACAGAGCAGTGACAGTGGGGTCCCTCCCTTGCCAGGCTCCCGGGAGAGGTGAACACAACAAAGCCTCGCTGACCCAGGTGTCCGTGTCCTAGGAAGCCTGGTCTGGCTTCTAGCTGAGACACGTACACACATCCTTCAAAGCCTCTGAACACTGTATGGCCTCTATACTTGGGGGCTTCAGGCCGCCAGTTTCAGGAGCTCAGCCAAGGCTGGAAACAGTGGGGCAGACCAACCACAGAGGAGACCCAGGGCAGTGTTGCCTCTAGTTGGAGCACTGAGGGCTCATGAAAATAAGAGTCCTCATCATGTTGCATAGCCTTGGCATTGGAGGTAAAGAAGCACAAAACAGGGGAAGGCAGTACAGCACAGAGAAGGCAAGTAGTGACTCTATACATCTGACTACGCTGATGGACAGTGACTGTAATGGGGTATGTGGTGGGGATTTGATAATGGGGGGAGTCTAGTAACTACAATGTTGCTCATGTAAGTGTATATTAATGATAACAACAACAACAAAATAAATTGATCATACCAGGAAGAGGGCTGAAATGACCAAAAATGAACACATGAAAAAAAAAAAGAAGCACAAAATACACTCAGAATAATTTCCATGCACAGATACATTCAGCTCTCATGGGGAATTAGGCTTATCCAGCACAAGTACCAGCCCCCTCCTCGCTTGCTTCTGTTATAATGCAAGGCTGCAGAAGCCAAAGGTTTGATATTCCAGCCTCCTTTTTCATCTTTCTTCCTTACTTCATGGTGATGGCTGGAACTGCAGCAACCATATTGTAACCATGAGGGACACAGCAAGAATTATAAAGATGTCTGTCCTGACATTACTGAGCCACTAAACCAAAGCTGTAGCTGCCTTCCTCTAAGCTTTATAGTATATGAGGAAAAAAGTAAGCTTGTATTACCCAAATATGCCAGATCAATATGGTATTCCATACCCCTACCTCCTGGAAAATATCTGTCTGTACATAGATCAAGGGTGGGAATCCAGTTCAAAGGAAAGACGCCTGCAGAGCAGGTGGGCCCAGCTCTAAAGGGATTAAGACCAAGGGCCAGCAGTTGATTCCATCATTTATACCTCATTATTTCTCAGAACAAAGAGGCCTAGAAATGCACAAAAGCTGACTTTATTTCTTGCTGCCATAAACGTGGAGCAATCTGACAGGGAAGGGTAGCACGGAGCACATGATCTGTCTAGATCAATCAGGTTGGGGGTGGGGACCTCTCCCCAGAGACAGGCAGGACAGAATGAGGGCCATTCACTAGAAGGAACTCAGGTCACACTGTTCCCCACCCATTCGGGGGGAAAGAACCAACGTCCTGCTCTTACAAAGCTTGTAGGGGGCTCACCAAGGGGCTGGCAGGTGAATCCTTGGCCAAAATCAACACCTAGAGTCCAGAGGAGGGAAACAGGAGCAAACTCAGTGACCAGCCCACCTGTCCTGTAGGTGCCAGCGTGCTGCCAGCAATCTGAGATAACACAGAAGCAGAAATACTTCTAATCTTTCTCTAATACACTCACTGTGCTATTTTTAACATTGAGAACTTTATCTGCAGTGTGTTTCTGAATACACACGGAATGGGGTGGAAATCTAATTATGCTAACTCTAGTTGTTAAATAAACCTGCTATTTTCCCACTGAATTGAAAAGCTACCTCTGTTGAGCTTCCATACATTCTTAAGTCTATTATCTCTCTATTTTGTTCCACTTAACAGTTTATTTATCCTAAAATAAATATGCTACTCATACTATACTGTTTCTATTGATTGTAGTAACTCTATAGTAAGCTTTAACATTTGGTCTAGCAGCTCTTCCCAATACTCTGGCTATTCTTTTAAAAAATCATTATGTTAAACCTTTCTCCAACCTCCTTATGAAGCATTTCATTGAAACATAATTCATATCCCATTAAATTCACCTTTTGCAAGTACATAACTCAGTGATTTTTAGTATATTACCAGGTTGTGCAGCCATCACCACTATCTGATTCCACAACATTTTCATCTCTGCTAAAAGAAACTCTTTCACCCGTCAGCAGTTCCTCCCCATCGCCCTGTCCCTGCCAGACCCTGGCAATCACTGATCTACAGTCTCTAGGGATTTGCCTGTTCTGGGCATCTCATATGAATGGAATCGTATACTCTGTGCTCATTTGTGCCTGGCTTCTTTCACTTAGCATAAGATTTTCAAGGTTCATCCAGGTTGTAAGATGTACGAGTACTTCATTCTTTTCTATGGCTTAATAATATTCCATTGCATGATTACATCATATTTTGTTTATTCATTGGATAATGGAAACACGTGAGTCCATTCCTCCCTATAAACTCCATTGGTGATCAGACAGGAATTATTACACTTACTCACTTGGTGGGACCAAGATTCTTGTCTCCTCTGTTCTTGTCTTACTTTTTGTCTTTTGATAGGATTCTATAATTTTCATGTTGGACCCATAATGCTCTTTTAAAATTTGTTTCTAGGCATTTGATAGTTTTTATTGCAATTATGAATGGATTTCCCCATTTCTACTTTTAATTAGTTAATATAGAGTAAAATTATTGACTTTTGGGGTATAAGCTATTGATTTCCTTTGTATTCTGTCACTTCCCGAATTCTCTTATTAATCCTAGGGAGCTGTTTTAGTAGACATTCTTAGTTTCTGTTGATATAAAATCATGTCATTGGCAAATAAGATAATTTCTTCATTTTCCAATAGTAGCAAGTTATTTTACTTTCATGCCTTATTACCTTAGTTAAACACTATAAAATAGTGTTGAATGATGGTATTAATAGAGCTGCACTTGCATAGAACACGGCTTCAGTGCTTTATTAGCTAATATGATATTTAGTGTCAGATTTTTTTCTTTTTTGGACATTTTACCATGTTTAAGTAATTTCCTTTAATTCTCATATTAAACCTTTTATGTAGCTGATTTTTTTTTAATATTGGGGAGGAAGATACTTCGAAGCAAGAGAGAAAATGTAGAAGCCATGAAGGAAAAGACATACCTGACTTCACAAAAACTAAAATAAATTGTTTCTGAGCGGCAAAATACTGCAAGTAAAGACTAAAGTCAAACAAAATGTAAAGTCACGGAGAAAACTATTTGCAACCCAATTAACATCCCTAACACGTAAGGAGAACCTACAAATCAGGAAGAGAAAATAAAAAACTTAATAAAACATGAGCAGTGGATTTAAACAGGCAGTCTTTAAAAGAGGAAACCTAAATAGTCAATAAATAATGAAGATAGGAAGAGATATTCAAATGCGCAGACTAAAATAATAAAATATTTCCCTTCTAGCATACTGGCCAAAATGATGAATGCCAGTAATATTCATGGCAGGCAAGCAGGCAAGCGTTAATGGCTAAAGCATACTTGGGATATTATTTGGCAATGTCTACTGAAATTTAAACCACACAACCCCAGTTTTGGAAGTCTCCTCCATGGAAATAGAAGCATCATATGCACATAAGAACTTTTCAGTATTGCTTACAGCAATGAGAGACCAGAAAGAGTTTGAATGTCCATCAATAGGTGAATAATGAAATCACAATATGATAGGATTTTATTCAGCCACTAAAAAGAATAAAGCAAAATCGGTATCTATTGATCTGGAGGGATGCCCATGATATTCTAAGTAAAGAAAGCAATGTGCAGACTTATGGGTAAAAGCTTATTTTTGTTGTTCAAACAAAAGCAAAAAACAAACAAAATAACCCAATATCAAATATATGTTTGTAAGAACAGGGAGAAAGGGGTTTGGATATGATGGCAGGCAGAAGAGATTTTAATTTTTCATATGCTTTTGAATAGTTTAACTTATTAAAAGATATTATGTATTCCTATATCATTAAAAATTAACAAAGAAAATTTAAAGGAGGAAGAAACAGAACCTGCCTTAGAAATACCAGTACATTTCACTTGGATGCTTTGGGGACTGAAAAGTTCATGGCCTGTGTGTATGGAGTACCTCTCCTTCCCTGTCATCCCAGGAGGCTTGGGAGTGGGAGGGGAGATGAGGGGAGGGAGGGGAGGGAGAAGGGGAGAGGGAGGTGGACGGGAGGGGAAAGTGAGAGTGGCAGGGAGGAGGGAGGGAGAGAGATGGAGGAACCGGGGTGGGGAAGAGGGTCAGAGGGTATGCAAGTACCAGGATCAGCTCTCACGCCAGGGGCAGGGCCTGTGAGGCAGGGGTGGATGCTGCCCTGGGGTCCCCAGAGGCAGGAGCCTGGGAGGAGAGCCTCCCCCTGTGAGTGGGGTGGTGTCTCCTGGGGCTGCCCCACAGACCTCTGAGCCAGGGGAGCCTGCAGACCCCACCCCAGTGAACATCCCTCCATATGTCCTTCAAACAGCCTGGAGCAGGTGGATAGCTCATTCATTCATTCATCTAAGAAGCAATTATCCCCGGCCTCTCTGGTGCTACAAGCTGAGGATCTGGCCTTGTTCAGGATGGATGCAGCCCTGTCCCAGGGCAGCTCCCAGTGGGAAGCCCACACTCCAGTGCGGGTTTCCACCTGGCCCCAATCTCAGTTTCGGCTGAACGGGGTGCTATGAGGGCCAGCTTACCAGACAGGCTGACCACAAACTGCAGCTCTGCCCCAGCCAGCTGCCAGCCCTGGGCACCACTGACAGTGGGGCAGTGGGTGGAGAGCTGAGGCCCTTCCTGGGGCTGGAAAGACACCAATGGGTTCCACAACTGGCAGCGGTCTGGAAAGGCCCAGTGATGTCTCAGTACCGGCCTCCCAAGGCTGCCCACTCAGGCTGCCTGCTGCCAGGAGGAACCTGAGAAGGAGTCGGGCCCAAGGCAGCAGCTCCTGGCAGCTTGGGGAGCTTCCCAGAGGCAGGCATGGGGCTGCCTTCCCCCGCGGCTGCCTCAGACGTGAGGGTGAGGCCAGGCAGACCACCAAGAAGCCACAGAAGCTAGCCCAGGGCTGCCCCCTGGAAGCCCCCCTTGCCCCAGGCTCAGGACAGGCTGGAAGGATGGGTCTGGCTGGCTCAGGCCTCTGGTCTCCCACAAAGTATCACACAGCCACTGAGGGCCTCTGTGAGTACATGGCCAAGTCGGGGATGGACAGGTGACCCAAACTCGATCAGAAAGCACAGACCCAGGCTTCTGCATGGACTAATCAGAGAGGACAACCACAGCCACCGAGGATCAGGCTTGGAAGCAGTTCAGGAACAGCTGCCTGCTTGTGGCTCTCCTGAGCTCCGCCATACAAACCCTCAGCACTTCAGCTCCTGGGCACGGAACCTCTGCATGCCTCCTGCCTCCCCCGCAGCACCTCCTCCACTAGCTCTGATCCCTCCCTCCATGACTGTGGGCTTCCCCAACTTCATTCCTGCCTGCCCCATGCACCCCACGTACCCTGGAAACTCCCCACTTCTGGGGGAGTGGCCCTCCACCACCAGCCTGGGGCCACCAGCCCTCACGGTCCTGCCCCTCATGGGTAGCACGCATAGTCATTGACTGGGCTACCTCCACATGCTTGGCCCTAACATGTGGGTTATCACAGAGCTGCAGTGTGCCTGGCACAGGGCCTGGTTACTTTGTGCTCTGGGAGCCTGGGAGGCTTCCCATGTGGGCTGCAGAGGGAGACGGTGTTCACAGGAGGGACCTCCACAGGGCCCACCCGATCTCACTGCAAACTCAGCTAATGGGCGGGGCTGACTGCAAGTGTGTGGGCCGCTGGCCTCCTCACCCACATAATTAAAAGGCCATCTTTGTCAGTGTGGCTGAGGAGGCAGAGGCTGTGGCCCTCCCTGGTGTGTGTGTGTGTGTGTGTATGTGCAACATTCTAAACCCACCAGTGCCCACCAGCTTCTGTTTCCATGGCCATGTCCTCTCCCTCAGTCTGAGGGACACGGACACAACCTGACAGAGCTGCAGCAGGAGAATGCCTAGCTCTGAGGGCGGGAAAGGGACCGACTGGGAAAGGGAGCCATTTCCCCAACAGGTCCCTGCTGGCTCCCACAGGGGGCTGCAGAGCCATAGGGCCCCCCTCAGGCCAGTCCCACCTGGGCCTGCTCCTGGGACTGCCTGCCCTGCCTCCACCTTCCTTGCCCCTTGTCCCAGGCGGCTTCTCTGGCCTGAGAGCGGGAGGAAGTGCAAACGCAGCCCAGGAGAATCAGCAAGGAGGCTGCTGTAGAAAGAGCCCACTGCTGAGGAAAGGACAGCCAGGGAGTGGACGCCAGGCCGTTAACATGGTTACAGCTGGAAGGGCTGACCTACAGGGACTTACCTTCTAAATTATACTGCTTGACAACCTCCAAAATTGTATAATAAACATGTTTTACTTTTGCAACAAGAAAAAAAAGCCCCAATAATAGATATAAAGATAGATGCCAGGTCATAGCCAAAGATGGAGATGTTCAAGAGCCCCTCCGAAGCAGCTAGCTGCCACGCCCGCTGCCCCTGGTGTCAGGAGGAGCCCCTCGTGGCTCTGGTTGCTTTGTCTCATTTAGGACTCAGTCCCTGAGTCTCGGGCTGAAACTTGGGCACTGCAGGGCAGACAAGGCCAGAGGCCAGAGGGCATGACTCTGCCTTCTGGCCCCACATGCTAGCTGAGTAAGTCCCTCCTCTTCTCTGGGCCTCAGACTACTCTTCTATAAAATGGGGCTACGAAACACTGTTCTGTCTCCTTCTGGAGCCTGTTGTGAGACCAGAAACTTTGAAAATAAAATCGTAAACATGAAAGCACCATGCAAGCTGGGTAGAACCACCTGCCACCCAGGAATTGTCACCATTCCAGTGGGGCAGGACCCCCCTGGTGGCTGCCCCAGGGACATGCCCTCATCAGTGTGGCCACCACAAACACCAAGGGGCCCTGGGCACAAAGTCACTTCGCTCTTTAGGGCCAAGGAAGCCAGGGGTCCTTCCTTACTGAGATGCAGGACAAGCACGGAGAAGAGATAGCACAGGCCTGCCTCAGGAAGATGTACTTTCAGACTTTGCAAAAATTGTATAATAAACATGCTTTACTTTTGCAACAAGAAAAAAGAGATCTTAATTTCTGCAAAGATCCACTGAGCTCACAGCATTCCTGCTCCCAAAGTAGTGCTTTTTTTTGTGAAACGGCCCCCCATGGACTCATCCTGGTACAAGTAATCACTGTGTTGAAGTCCGGCTGCCCACGTGGGTGCAGGTGGGGAGCTGACAGCAGAGGGAGGGATGAAGCTCCAGCATAAGCCATGTGGGGGTGTGGCAGGGCCTGGCCTGGTGCCCATGGCACGGCCTCACTGGCTGAAAACCTGAACATTGGTTGCTATTCCTTGAGGGGGGAAAAAAGGCTTACCTCTCCCTCGGGCCCACGTGTAGACTCGACTGGTCTCAGTGCTTCTGGGCTCTTGCTGGGCTGGCTCCACTGGCAAAGGCCGGAAGTGGGGGTCATCAGCCCGGCCAGGGGTCTTCAGAGGCAGGATGTACTTGGGGAGCCCTTTGTAGAACCAGGCCCCCGACCTCTTCCAGACCTGGGTGGGGGAGATACCTGCTTAGAGCACAGGATGCAGAGCGGCCCTCCCTATACTGTGCTCCCATGCACACCCAGCCTCCCCTCCTGGTGGGAAGGTGGGAAGCACTCAGCACCGTGGGCATCAAGAAGGTGCTCCATGGATGTCACCTGCTTGCCCTTCCCTCCGGACTTGGGGGCAGAGTGACAAGAGGCTGGAGGAAGAGCCTCTGGGCCCTGGCACAGAATCAGAGAGCTCCATCTCCGCAGCAGGCACAGAGGAGACCCGGACCTCAGAAAGCCACAGATTAGAATTCAGAGCAGCGACTTGAGATACGGTTCCTGGACTCTAATGCCTACTTCAAAACACCTCAAATGCTCTGTAATCTCTTTCTGATGAAGGAAATACACTGAGTATTTAGAAAGAGAAGTGGGAGTGTGTGGAGGAATGATGTGACCTTTCCAGAGAAGAGCAAGGCTTTGTGGTTCAGAGCAGACATCCTGGGCTTGAATCCTGGATCTGTCACCCAGCAGCTGCGGGACCGAGACACAGCCGCTCCTGGTCCTCAGTGTCTCACCAGCAGGTGGGATGTACAAACAGCGCCCACCTCACAGGGTGGCCACGAGGACCAGACTCTCAAATGAATGTAAGGCCCTGCTGCCCAGTGCTGGGCACCCAGCAGCCACTCTACAGACACGAAACTCATGATTGCCACTGTCATCCTCCTCTCATCTGACAAGTGTGGGCAGCTTTACAACCAGTGGGCCAAGTCCCTACCCAAAGGGGAGAATGTAAAATCAGAAGGCCAGAGGCTGACTTGGTTCTGTCCAGGACAGCGCTTCCCAATCCCCAAACTCCATATGCACTACATTAGTTCTGTGGAATGTTAACATGGGCCAGGCCAAAAATGGAAAAAAAAGGTTCCTCATCATGTACATTGGGAAGCACAAGGTTAAATCAAACTCCATTACTGCAGGACTTCTCAGTGCCTTTAATATGCCAACGTGTGCAGATTTTCCCAAAAGTGCTTCCCACTTGGGACCTATCCAGCAGGTTTTCCTAGAGAAACTCAACCTTAGTAATGGGTCTGCAAAGCTCACTGCTTCACTGTACAGCAGCACTGACTCCCTGAGTGATGTGCATCTACTTCTCTAAGCAGACAGCAGTTCCTTCTCTAGGCTTGAGTGCCAGGCATGGGACCACCGAGTTTGAACTCTGTCCCTGGCATGAATCACTCACCCCTTCCTCCCAGCTACTTTGTGCAGAAGGGCCTGCTTTTGTGTGGCTCTTGAATAACACAGAACCCATTTGGTGGGGTGGATGATTTGTGAAGCCCTCTTTATAAAACTCCTTCTGACCCTCTCATGGCCCTTCTATCTATTATCTATATATTTATCCATATTTGAATTGGTAGTGCATATACTTAGGCTAAAATTCACAGAGTGGAAAATTAAAGTCTCCTCTCACATTCCCATAGGCATCTGGTGATAACAGCCCTTTCAGGAAGCTCTAACATTACCCCTACTTTCCAGATGGGGAAACTGAGGCTCTGACAAGCAACTTGCCCAAGGCTAGTCCACGATTCTCTTGGCCTCTAGTCCACACTGGAGGCCCCAGAGGCTCATTCAACAGTTCACTGATACAAAGCAGATGCTCACTAAGGTGTGGTTGAGTGGTGAATCACCCCCAGCCCGTCAGGCTCAGGCGTCATCATGGACTCTGAGTGCCCCGCAGACGGAATGCCTAGAGGGCAGGGCAGGGCCGTCCAGGGAGAGGAAACAAACAAAAGCAGCAGCCACCAAGGCCACCTGTCCCTGCAGAGCTGCTGCACAGCTCCTTAGAACAGGTGTCCGAGCCCAAGGGGCCATGGCAGGCGGGTGAGGGCTCACTCAGCTCCCTCTGCTAAGAGAAAGCCTGAGCGGCCGTTAGTGCCGCCCCTCCCGGTGTGAGCCTCCCGCCTCCTCCCACGGGCTGGGCCTTGGGCCCAAAGGAAGCAAGCCCTTAAAAGGCGGGGCCTGCGTGGGCTCAGGACCTGTACCACACTGCTGCCCCAGCCCTACCGTGGAAACCGCTTTGTCTTTTGTTTTTGTTTTTTTTTACAATAATAGCCAACATTTATTAACTTCTTTTAAGCATTTGTTACTATTTGCTGGCACAAAGAATCTTCACAGCCACCCTAAGTGTACCAGGATAGTTCATACAGCTTATTGATGAGGAAACTAAGACTTGTGAAGGTCAAGTAATTTGCCAGGGAGCTGGAATTTGAGCTCCTGTTTTTTTTTTAAATTAAATTTAATTTAATTTTTTAATTTTGGTATCCTTAATCTACAATTACATGGGGAACATATTTACTAGACTCCCCACTTCACCAAGTCCCCCCAACAAACCCCATTACAGTCACTGTCCATCAGCGTAGTAAGATGCTACAGAGTCACTGCTTGTCTTCTCTGTATTGTACAGCCCTCCCCATGTCTCCCCCCACATTATACATGCTAATCGTAATGCCCCCTTTCTTCTCCCCCACCCTCATCCCTCCCTTCCCACCCATCCTCCCCAGTCCCTTTCCCTTTGGTAACTGTTAGTCCATTCTTGGGTTCTGTGATTCTGCTGCTGTTTTGTTCCTTCAGTTTTTTCTTTGTTCTTATGCTCCACATATGAGTGAAATCATTTGGTACTTGTCTTTCTCCACCTGGCTTATTTCACTGAGCATAATACCCTCTAGCTCCATCCATGTTGTTGCAAATGGTAGGATTTGTTTTCTTCTTATGGCTGAATAATATTCCATTGTGTATATGTACCACCTCTTCTTTATCCATTCATCTACTGATGGACACTTAGGTTGCTTCCATTTCTTGGCTATTGTAAATAGTGCTGCAATAAACATAGGGGTGCATCTGTCTTTTTCAAACTGGGCTGCTGCATTCTTAGGGTAAATTCCTAGAAGTGGAATTCCTGGGTCTGCTTTGTCTTTTTTTTTTTTCTGGAGAAGAGACTACATACATAGTATACAAAACTAGGGCAATAACAAAAAAGTAAAATGAAGAAACTATAGGTCACTCATAACATTATCACATAGAGAGAGCCCCAGGTGGGGCTAAGCAGCCACCCTGTGATGGTGTTCTTGATGGACCTGGGGTCTGGTCTGGGGACTTCAGGAGCAGTTCCCATGGAGTGGTGGGCTTAGGGGAGATGCATGTCAGGTCCTGAGGTCACCAGAACTAGCCATCACAGGGGGGTAGACGCAGGCCCTGCTGCCACCCCCAGGGCCTGCCTTCTTGGGTGGAGAGCACGAGCTCCTCACACTGTACCCTGTTTGAAGGGCAGTGGCAGGACAGCCCTGAGGTGACTCAGCGTGTGGCTCACACTTTCTGGTTGCATGGCCTTCAGCGAGATACCAAGAGACGCTACGGAGCCACATCTGGGGATTCCACAGGGCCGGGTCCATCATGCCTGCTCTGCGTCCTCATCCTACGGTGTCCTGTGTGGAGCTGGGACCAGGGTTCCGACCCGTAAGTATTTCTTTTTTATTTTATTGTGACAAATACAGGAACATGAAATTTACCACCTTAACCATTTCTAAGTGTACAGGTTAGGAACAGTATGTGAATTCACACTGCTGTGCTGCCCATCTCCAGAACATTCCTTATCTTGTAAAACGGAAACTCTGCACCCATTAAATAACTCCTTATTCCCCTTTCTCGGCAACCGCTGACAACCCCCATTCTGCTTTCTGACAATTGGACTCGGAAAGAATCTGATTACTCTAGGTACCTCATATGAGTGGAATCGTACAGTATTTTTCTTTTTATGACTGGATTTTTTCACTTAGCATAATGTTCTCCAGGTTCATCCATGTTGCAACGTGTGTCAGAATCTCCTTCCTTTTTGAGGCTGTGTAGTATTCTATTGCAGGTATACACTGCATTTTATCTATTCATTCGTCAGTTCATGGGTGCTGGCTGCTGTCCACATTTACCGGACTCTCCCACTAGGCTTCAGCATCCAGGAGGGGGGGCGGGGCACTTTGCTCACCACTGTATCTTGAAACTACTAGTCCACACCTGATACATAGTAAGTGCTCAAAAAACACTGGTTGAATGGCTGAATTGGCAGCTGTAGGTAGTTTGCTGGAACTATCCCAATCCAAAAGTCTGTCACCTTCAAAGAGAAGTGGCCTCCAGGTTTTACCCAAGTTCTTGTAATTAATCAAATGGATTTACTGTTTCAGATTAATGAGGGATAAAGAGGAAGCGCCCAGCAGGTCACGCTGGGGCAGAGCAAGCTCCACTGAACCTTCCTGACTGTGACCTCCAGAGCACAAGGCAGCTCCCCCTGGAGCACCACAGAGACCCCCAGCCCCAGCCGCCCCTGCCTCCCCTGGCATATCAGTCACCAGGCCTCACACCCTCAGCCTCATCTCCTGTTGTAATGACCTGTCTCCTCCCTTACCCCCCACTTAAAAAACACCAATCAGTAAAGTGCTTTTGGAAAACAGGATAAAAAGCACAGGATCCAAAGTACTGGACTGTACTGTATGAAGCTGCTGCTAGTCAACCTTTTTTTGGTATTCATTTTTGACCTATAAATCCCCCCCTCAGCTTCATACAATTCACCCTGATATATATGTTCAGCAAGGGCAATGACCACGTGGGTCTGCCAGGCCTGCAGTGCCTCCCAGGGTCCAGCGGGCAGGTCCACAACAGACCCAGTGGGTCAGTCATCCCGTGTGAGTCCATTGCAGTGGGTGGGGGGAGGTCTGTCTGCTTCTCCCGTGTTGGCTCTGCAGTCCAGCTGGAAAGCCTGCAGTGGGCAGAGACCAGACCAGACCAGGGTGGCCGATGGTCCTGGACCAGCTGGAGGAGCAGCAGTTCCTGAGGCCCAGAGGGGGAATGCAGCACACATATGCATCACCAGTATGCAGGGCACACTTGGGTGGAGGTGCACCCAACACTGAGAATTCTGGAAAATGCCTTCCGCATGGGAAAGCAGGACCAGTGAGGTGAGGTGTGAAGGATCCCGGC